CCAGCATTCTGCGCATCACAAGCTTCAGCTTCTTTGAGAATTCCGAACGGCACCTTTGATGTGACAGAACCCGGCCTTCTGTATTGATCCCCCCCACCACCCCCAATTTGTTCTGTTTCCTCAGGTCTGGAATATGAAGACGACAGAATGCTGCAACACCTTCAAATCGCTCGGCAGCACCGCTGGGACAGACATCACCGTGAACGGCGTGATTCTGCTGCCTAAAAACCCAGAGCACTTTGTCGTATGCAACCGATCCAATACCGTGGTCATTATGAACATGCAGGGACAAGTACGTGTTTGGAGGCCAGCGACTTCGAAATGGTGGTGGTGGGGGGATTCCTTGGTTTTAGTGGGTGTGGGGGGGGGGACATTCTGTGATTGGCGGATCGGAGGCAGATTTTCCACCTTTGCTCTTCTCTCTGAACTGTAAGCCGGCTTGGAAATGGTTGTGACTAAGTATGGTGCTGGTTTAACATCTGGCTGCTACGGCTGATTGATCTGGGATTCAGAATCATACTAGTAAACCATACTTTAGTTAACATCCGTACATCACTGCGCAACAGTGCCTACTGTAGCCAGCTCCCTGGCATGCTGCACTTTTAGCTTTTCCCCCCTTTGCTGTTGCTGGAAGCAGAGTTGGCTCTGCCCAGCAGGCAGATCAGGTAGGGGTTTTCCAAATCAGATGGGAAACCAAGGAGCGTGCAGCGTATTTCTGTCTCTGCTGTCTTTTCCACACACTGAATCCAAGCCCAGCCACAGGACCTCAAACCATTTTTCACTGGAGGTAGCTGTGTTAGTAGGCGGGGACTCTACCACTACTAGAGGTACCAGCAGCTGTGCTGCAAATGTGGTGCCTCTACCTCAAAAAAGAAGCCCCCACGGAGCCCCAGGTACCCTTGGATCGATCCTCCATTATACCCTATAATGGTCCCCAACTCCCTATAGGGTATAATAGAGCTGAAAAAATTCGGCAGTCCTGAATATTTACTGAACCTGAATCCCATACTGGTATTGGGATTTGGGAACATCAGGAAATAGCAATATTTTTCGGGTTCAAAATACCCAAACCCAAAAAATAGTTTTCTTTTTTTTTACACACCCGTTAAGACACTGAACTGCAGGCTGTGAAAGGTCAGTAGTTCAGCAGTTCGAGACCTGAGTGTGCTGCATGACGGAGTGAGCTCCCGTCTCTCGTTCCAGCTCCTGCCAACCTAGCAGTTCGAAAGCAAGAAATTGCAAGTAGATAAATAGGTACCGCTTTGGTGGGAAGGTAACAGTGTTCTGTGCGCCTTGGTGTCTAGTCATGCCGGCCACATGACCACAGAAACATATTCGGACAGCGCTGGCTCTTCGGCTTTGAAATGGAGATGAGCACCGCAACCCTAGAGTCGGATTCGACTGGCTTTCGA